TGTTCCACGCATATTTATTGACCCACATCCTAGAAGTGTTTTGCATGATACTGAGTAAACACAATCCTACAAATCTGTATGGAGGAATACATTTCCATTCATAAGGGGATATTATCCATAGCCTTAAGTAGAAAGCTGTCTATCCTTTGTTTTGCTCAATTAGATTCCAAGTCTCCTATTAATAATCATGAACAAGAACAGTAAAAGCAGCAAGATTCAAACCAATAGAAATTCTTATTGTTCTTGTCAAAAAGCAAATAGTCCCCTCCCCAGGCTTTCTACCACCACCTCCCACTCTTGACAATGTGAGATGTGAGGCTGAATTTTAACATTTATGTAGCCATTTGTTGCTAACTACCACACTTGCATATTGTACTTGGTATAGGAATTCATGTTTTCCTTGATAGAGTTTGCATATTGTGTTCTCAAATTGCACTTTTAAAACATTTGCACTCCTTGAAACATAGTAGTTAATTGGGTTAACAATTCTTAGTTGTCAAGATCAGTTTTAGATGTGGTCCCCTTTCTATTCAGTGTGTGATTATGTCAAGACTGCTTGGAGGGCAAAAGTAGACAGCCTGTCATAGGTTTTACTGTGGTGAAGATCTGATCTTTCAAGAGGTTGGTTAATTGGACACACGTGCAATACCCAAGGTGCAATGAAAAGATAAGAGCAGTTAAAGCCTACATGGTGGATGAGTTTATTTATTTTTTTTTAGGTTCAATCATGATTGTATGTTCACCTGTGCCTTTGCTGATGCTTTCATACATTTTACTTAGCCTCAGTAGGTATTTTTACAGATCCCCATAGACTCTTCTCAGGATGTGTTATCTTCTGGTTCTCAATGTAAATATACTTGAAATAAAATATACCCAGCAGTGTTATATGAAAGTAGCTGGTTAATAAAAACCTGTGTTACATTGCTTTTTATTTATTTATTTTTTTAATTAAAAAAAGAAATAAATGAGGATTTACATATGTCAGTTGATTGGGCATAGTCTGCAGGGAGGTCAACGATCCCCTGAAGCTACTTACTAGGAGTACATAGGAGATAAGAGGAAGCACACTTTTTGTTAGCTCTCAGAAATGTGTTCAGGAATGTACAGGAACCCTTGAATTCTTGTCATGCCCTCCTTTAGGGTCTGTGGTAATAGGCACAGATTTTAGAGAGTCTCCATGTCAGTTAGGTTTTCATTCTGAAGGTTTTCATGTATACAGGTTAAATAAAATTTGAATGTCTTTTCCCCATTAAAAATAAATAAATAAAAAATAATTTGAAAATAAAATTATTGGGAATTTTAAGAGATTTTAAATAGTCAGATGTATTTTGCAAAAAAAACAAAAAGAACAAAGTTTGAGTACTTACATTACCTGTATTCAAGAATTATTAAAATTTGATAATATTCACAAGTATGTAGTGATGCTGGGTGGGGTGCAGTGCAAAACCCGTGGGTTCTTTGATTCATTTCTAAAATGAATTTTAAAGTGGCCAGCAAAGTTTTAAAACAAAGTTTATTAGAGAAAGAAAGGAGAAAAGAAAGTGACATGCCAGAGGTGGCACGGGTAAAACCACCGATAACATTATTGACATGGGAATTGAAATGTATTTGTATTTATAACACATGCTTTCTTAATTCTCTCAGTAAACTTCAGAAACTTACTCATTCTGAATGTATATGCAATGGTACTCTTGAACGTAATCTCTTTCTTCCTCCTGGCATTGACATCAACCATATAATGCCCTGGATATTAAGATCGACAAACTAACTTCTCTCTTTTCTGAAAAAATTGTTGAGGCAGTGTATCCAAAAGTAAGTTGTGGTAATTAAAAGCCACAACCATGGAATGTAACAGATTGTTTCATTAAATTAGTGAAAGTGCAAAGCTTTATAATTAGTTAATTAATCAATCATATGTAATAAACATATACATACATGTGTGATATTCCTTGTATCCAGTGAGGAACACCAAAGTAAGAGTTATCTCACTTTTCTAATGAATTCTAAATTTGAAATAACTTCTGTCAATATTTCTATATCAGAAAACTATTGTCACTGACTCATCAGTATCACAATGTCAGTATGGGGTTACCATTGTGAAAAATAAATAGAGAAACATGCAATCAAAGAGATGTCCCTGGTTGGTTTCTAAAAACTAAAGAAAAATATTCTCTGGTCCCATAAGGGAGTACATTTTTATTCTTTACAAAGTAGGAAAAGAATATTTGATTCATGATTTGATAAATAAGAAGCCAGTATTAGCAAACTTTGTTTTCTTTTTATTTCTTAAGGTATTTATATATCTTGAATAGAAAGAAAATATCTTATGTAAGTGAAAATCATTGCTGGAAACTGTGCTTTGACTAACTCAAAGCAGAGAATGTTCTCATAAGAAATACTACTGACACTCACAATCATCTAAAATCTGCCCCCAAAACAATGTCAATTTTAGAAAAATATGCATATTCATTCAAAACATATGTAATAATATTAAAACAAGTAAAGTGGAAAAATTAGAGATTCTCAAAGTTACAGCGTGGGTTCTGGTTATAAAGAAACACATATATCTGTATTTAAAATTCATAAAATATGTCACTGATATCTGCTTGTGTTTTCAGTAACTAGATAAAAATAAAGTCTCTAGATATTAATAATATATCAAAATGGCTTAAAGAAAAGCACATTTTTAAATGTTTAGTTAACTGTACAACTGACATCTGCTGAATCATAAATTAATTGGAGTTATTTTTTCAATATGGTTTCTGATTTCATTCATTCATTCAATAAATATTATTGAGCTTGTTCTGCATTTATGGTCTACAACTGTTGCAGAAGGCAGACAAGGGCCTGTCCTCATGGGGCCATAAAATCAGTCTAATGTGATAAGCAGATATTTGGCAACCTAATTGAAAGTGTGATAAACATTTAAACATTATGTGAGAAACATGTCTGATGCTCTGAGAGTGTGTAAGAAGGGAACTCTCCCTAATTTGATGTCAGCAAACCATGAATAATTTTCAGAGCAACCATCACCCACTTTTATTTTAGAATAAACTCAGAACAAAGCCAGGACTTTTTGCTAAAATTTGGTTTGTATAAGTTTAATATCTTTACCAATCCTTATCTTGCCTAAGGTAATTTTTAGACTTATGTGTTGGGTAGTATAGTATAGTTTTTTTTCACAATTGATATTGTTTTAGAAAAATAAAAGTTATTTTCAGTATATGTATTTTCCTTACTTGGCAATAGCATATAGACATTAAGTCAATTCATATTTTGAATACTCAAAGTTCTATAATAAAATTTTAACTTTTATTAATTAAAGCATATCCATTAATGAGCAACGTATCTAAAAATGTACAATTAAATATTCTTAGTGCCAACTTTATAAGTTTGCCACAAATAATCTTTTGTTTTAACTTTGAAAATAAAAGACTAACTTCTTAATGGCCCCAATCTGATTAATCGATTTAATTTCATAATTAATGTCAAGGATTGGAAAATAATAATGTATTAAGAATTCTCCTGAATTGAATCTGGGATTTAGACTCTGATTTAGTGCAAGATGCTCATATTTTCAAATTCAGACTAAATGGCATATAGTTTACTCCTAAATTGAAACTCTCATTTGGATATATCTTTAAATGCTGTTTTCAGATGGAAAATATGGGTCACTGGTTTGTTCAAGTACAGTGGGGAAAGGCAATAAATATCAAAGATGTGTGGAATTAATTCTAAAATGTTATATATGTTACTAGATTCCCATATTGAGAAGGGCCCTAGGTTCTTTGTTTCCCTAATTGAATATTTGGAATATCAAGAAAACATCCCCAGATTTGTCAATGCAAATTTTTATTTGACAAATTAAAAATAAGATTAAAATATCATTAAGTATTGCGTTTTAACAGATGCAGTAAACTCACTGACTTTCTAAGCTCATAAAGTTTTTATATCAACACTTTGGAAAAATGGTTTTCCTGAACGTATTGTAAGTCCCTGGTAACTCTTTACATATGAACTTCAAAGTTTCTTTTCATGGGATAATGATTAGGTAGCACAATATTTATAGTATTCTATTTTATTACTCCATCATGCCACTTGTAAGGTAATTTTCATCAAATTTTAAACATGTTTCTCGTTAAACAAAATAACATGTTTACATTAAACATGATAAGCACATTCTTCACATTTCCTTCTTTGTTGACTGACAGTTGTTTTGTGCAGAAGAAACTAGGGTTCAAGTTCTAAAATTTAACATAAATCATAAGACTAAAAGTTGGAACTGGAATCTAAACTCCAGAATGGTTTTGTTATTCATTAAAGATTTGAACTTGGTAAATCACTCTCCCTATTTGTCTCCTGTTTTTCTCATCCATAGAGTGAATCCATGGACCTACTTTAATGATTTTTACTTTTCCAAAGCAGAAACCTTTTGCAGACAAAATCTTATTCATAAAAATAAACAATACAAATAGAACTTTTCTTATAGGAGCAGCAGTGAGGAAGGGAGCAGCAGGGTTGGGGTGGGGGATGCTATAACCCACCGCTACACTGGTTCTCACTTGCCACCCAGCCTCCAAAAAATGACCCTAGGACACACCAAACAATTCCTCAAATTCAAGAAATACATTTTGAAAATCATGTAGTTATAGGATTTTTCAGTTTCCTTATAATTCCAAAATAATATAATTGTTATTCATGAATTGGGCTTTGCCAGGAAAAGCATTGAAAATCATATCTCTAACTAAGAAAAAGAAATAATATATGTAAATATAAGATTTAGATTCATTCTAAGAGGGATTCTAAGGAAAAAAGCTTGCAGTTCATACTAAAGCACTAACTTAAGTATCCCATAAAACAGTTCCATAATACCAAATAGTTCATGTTTAAGAAATGAATAAATTGACAAAACCCCAAATAACCCCTCAATATTTAGAAAGTGGCAAACATCTTTTAGTTAAATTACATTCCCTTACCCACCTCTATACCCCACGGGAAAAATGAGAAAAAGAAATTTTTTGTTGTTTGGTAAGTTAAGAGGCACAATGTGTATACATGAGGATTTTTTACTTCCCAGCTTGGGTAACTAGAAAGTGAACACTTGAACTTCTGTCAGTACACACAATATACAAATATTAGGCCCTTGCAGTCACAGTCTATGGAAATAAAAACCGAAGTTGAAGACAGTGTGTTCTACACAGTCAATTGCCCAGCAAAAGACTTGCCTGCAGACTTCTTCACAAGGGGCCATTTTCTTTGCCAGCTGCTGACATGGATTTGATGGTAATGGGTTTTCCCTGTGACTAACTGCTTATGTCCTGTATAAGCAAGGATTTCTAACTACCTAAAATACAGGAAACGAACAAAAGCAAACTTTGAGTCATCCCAGGAGGACCCAGAGCGAAACTGTCCCAGCGGGTACCTTATATAGATGCTGTGACACAGTTCCCCTTTTGCAAAAATACTTCCTGCCATCACTGCTTTGCAACACGCCTGTGCAGAGACCTACTTTATGACACTTCAGGGAAGTTAATGTACTAGGTCTTGAAAGGTCTTTCTGGAACGCGAAGTAACTTGTTTTCTTCTAGGGGCGCTAACTCTTGTGTCATCTTGCAGGTCCGTGGGGCCGGTGCATGGGGGACGAATGTGGTCCAGGAGGCATCCAAACAAGGGCCGTGTGGTGTGCGCACGTGGAGGGGTGGACCACGTTGCACACGAACTGCAAGCAGGCCGAGAGACCCAGTAACCAGCAGAACTGTTTCAGGGTATGCGACTGGCACAAAGAGTTGTATGACTGGAGGCTGGGACCCTGGAACCAGTGTCAGCCTGTGATCTCCAAAAGCCTGGAGAAAACCCCGGAGTGCACCAAGGGGGATGAGGGCATCCAGGTGAGAGAGATCACGTGCATCCAGAAAGACAAGGACATTCCGGCGGAGGACATCATCTGTGAGTACTTCGAGCCCAAGCCTCTGCTGGAGCAGGCCTGCCTCATCCCTTGCCAGCAGGACTGCATCGTGTCGGAGTTCTCCTCCTGGTCCGGATGCTCCAAGACCTGCGGGAGTGGCCTCCAGCACCGCACGCGGCAGGTGGTGGCACCCCCGCAGTTCGGGGGCTCCGGCTGCCCCAACCTGACGGAGTTCCAGGTATGCCAGTCCGGCCCCTGCGAGGACCAAGAGCTCCCGTACAGCCTACACGTGGGGCCCTGGAGCGCGTGCTCGATGCCACACTCGCGACAGGCCCGGCAAGCCCGGAGACGCGGAAAGAACAAAGACCGGGACAAGGACCGGGGCAAGGGGGTCAAGGACCCGGAGGCCCGCGAGCTCATCAAGAAGAAGAGGAACCGAAACAGACAGAACAGACAGGAGAACAAATACTGGGACATCCAGATTGGGTATCAGACCCGGGAGGTGATGTGCACCAACAAGACCGGAAAGGCGGCTGATTTGAGGTAAGATTTTGTTGCTGTTCACAACACGTGTTGGCCTTCAAGGCGGTGAGTACCCAAGAACACAGCCCAGGTCAAGCTGCCCCCAAGTTCTAGGCTTCTGAACTGTGTCGGGTTCTTGGTGGCGTTTCTATGGTACTCACTGTTAGGTCCTTTACTGTCTGAGCTCATTTTAATTTTTCTTTCAAAATCTAGAGCATGAGTGATTCTTCCTGAGAAGAGAGTATTTCTTCTCTATGAAAAGGTATGGCTGTTTTCCCTATAATGGGAAAAGAAATTTACTTAGAGGAGTATTGGGATTGTGAATCCAGATACTTATTTAGTGAGTTAATAGAAAAAGACATACTTGTAATCTCTCGAAGTTTATAGCATTTTCAGGATCACCCTATAAACAAAATCTGCTGTTGAACGACAACCCAGGGAGCTATACCTAAGAATAATTTTCTTTCACGTTTTATAAAATGGAATAACTCCCTCCAGAGAGGAAATTGGAAACCAGACGCAAATAAGGTAAGTAGAGGGTATGAATCAAGAGTAGCCTAGTTTAGGAAATGTGTAATTAATTGACTGTATTTTCTAGACAGAAATTGCTTGACAAATTATCTTTGGGCACATAATGACTTTATTATGAAAGACTATCTCATGTATGATTTATTTGTTATGACAATACTATTCATTGAGGATTATCTAAAGGACATGATGTTCTCTGGATATTCTAAACTTTGCTCTTGAATAAACCAGACCATCTGGGAGTGGCTTATGTGGATCATTTGCATAATTGACTTTTCTGAAATATTTATGCAGTTATGATTTACTAATCTGAGGGAAATTACAGTCACATCCCTCAGATTTTTTTGTCATATTTATTGTAGAAATAATATTGAGAGTGTCATCTTCTTCATCACACAGTCTGTTCTCTTGATTAAAAACATATTAGGTAATTTTCTCTGAAGTCTCAATCCATGTGCTTCTAGGGAGCAGCTGGGTGTTTTTTTTCTTATGGTCCCTAGAAATCTTGTAACAGACCACATTTTCTGTTTACTTTGGCTGATTGGAACCTGACTAGGACAGTGCAGCATGCATGCTGTTTATTAATAGTTCCCACTAGTTTATCATTTTTCTCGTCCTCATTATTATTTCTTTTTTTACCCATTCTTATCTAGTGATTTTGTGATGAATAGATTTTGAAATCTGATTATAAACATTTTGGACACAGGATACAGTTTAAATAAATGAGTAAATAAACACTAATTTGTTTGTCTAAGACAATTTTTTCTCATTGTAGAGTTCTGGCTGCTATTTTGGGGGTATTTGCTACTTTCTCTCCTCTTTGTAGTCACACAATTGTGTTTGTATTTCACTTATACAGTAGAGACATTGGTTCTTTCTCCATTCTGGTCCTTTCATTCCATCTGCCTCAGCCTTGCTACTGGCTGGTTTATTCTACATTCTCCAGGTTCCCTAAAACTCTTTGTGTGTGTGTGTGTGTGTGTGTGTGTGTCTGATTCTGTGTTGTGTGCATTTTTCAATTCTATCCCTGTTTTGTTCTTTCCTGACTATCCTATTCTGGTGATCTTCTGATCTCTATTCTTGAAATATTGCAGTTATCATAGTTACTTGTCTCCCACCAAGCAATTGAATGAGCCTCTGAGGCAACTCAAGTTATCTCCTGCTGTTCCTGGGTTAGCATGCTGAAGACATTTAATTTAATGTTGACTACTCAATTAAAAGAGTAATCAGGATAGGAGCTACCATTGCACAGAGTCTAACATTCCCATTCAGTTGTTTGAATTAAGCAAATATACTTAAAAACGTGGACCTTGTTTGTTAGGAGCTTACACCCCATTCGAAATATCATATATAATGATTCCAATAAAATGATAGTTGGATGTATGCTCTCACTTATTAGGGCACAACTTTATGTTAAATAATTAAATTGGTTGTTAATATTTCTCGCATGAATTATCAAGTATTATTAAGAAAGTTATGGTACTAGTAATAAAGAGACCAAACAAAATCCGTATTTTAGCCTACATTTTGCTTAAACATTATACCATGATATCAGTGAGGCCAATAAAGTGATGAGTGAGTCAGTGATATCCCCACAGCATGGGGCCACAATCAAAGACTTAGTGATCAAATTCTAAATGTTTTAGCTTTCATCAGATTCAGAAATAGTTTTATCATGTCTGAGGATAAAAATAATAAGGCTAAAAATTCGATTACAGTAGCTACATGAATTTAACTAAGTGAACTTAATCTTGAAGAAGCAGTTCACAGACAAATAAAAATAATTTTAGCAGTCTTACTATTAAAATGCCTAAGTTAAAGATGATAGATTTGCCATTTTCTGCTTTCAAACAGACCAAGTTCAATAAGAATGAAAAATACAAATGAAAACCCATACTTTTATGACAATAGGAAATAGTCACAGTTCCAAACTGCAGCTGATAAAGAAATTTGACCAATGTGGTGAAGTTAGATCTAACTTATGGAGGAAACGTGCCTGGGCATTATGGCTTGCCTCCTTGATTTCTTTGAGGTCTTGATTTCTTTGATGTCTTGCCTGCTTTCTTACCTCCAAGGACAGCCTGAGTTTTCTGAGGGGTCGAGTCAATGACACCTCCATAGTATGACACAGTCTGTGTCAGTGAAAGGTCTGCTGAAGCATTCTTGAGTCCTGTTTCAAGTCAGGGTAGCATAATAGGCAGGAAACCCCTATGCCTTTATTGGCAGCAAGAGAATATCAGCTTGACAGACTGAAGGATTCAAGTTTTGACAACAAGTGGAAGAGAATTCCACGTCACCACACACATACACACCAGGACATAGGAGGCTTCCCTGCACACCAGTGACAAGGCCAAGAGCCAGTATGAAAGTATTTCAAGCATTTCACCAGGAAACCAAAGATTATTAAAGAAAATGTGTTTTTCTAAATCCAAAACAGAGATAATTTCAGTATTTAAAAAAGTAATGAGTTTAAAAGTGATCTAGCAGGACTCAGAAAAGAAATGTAGAATTATAAAACAAGAACAGAAATTAAATTTACATTAGAAGCAACAAAAAATGGAAAAATATTTGGTGGTAAGAAGAGTCAATGATATAAAGAACAATTTGGGAACAGCAAGTAAGCTAATTTTTTACAGAGATAATGGATATGGAAACAAAGGAGATTACTATATGAAGTTCTGATGTCCCTGAAGATAGAACCAGAAAAGTTAAGACTTAAAAAGAAAAATACAATGATAAGGCTTTCCTAAAATTAAGAAAGACTTTAGTTCACACGTTGAAATTATACAGGACAAATATTCTGCTAGAAAAAGTTGAAATAATGACCTGATGGAAGAACTGATAAAGATCAGTTCTTTTGGAAAATGGAAAACAAAGAGACATCAAACTAAAAGCAAGCACAGTGTTCTGCTGTGAAACATTAGACACATTCTCTTTAAAGTGAGAAATAGGGCAAGACAGCACATTATTACCATTGTTAGTTAATATTGATCAGTAAGTACTAGGCAATGTACCTGAAAAAGAGAAAGAAATGAAAATTAGAAAGCTAGTGGCAAAATTAAGACTTTTTTTTTTCCTAATTCTGAACTTTACCCCACATCTTCTAAAATAAAATAAATTAGAGGAAAATCTTCATTTTGCTAGATGTTATGATAATTATGGAAAATTCAAATGAATCAATTAAAAATATATTATAAATAATAAGAAATTAAATAAGTTTGGTGGACACAAATATAATATCCAAAAAGTAACATATTCTCTAGATACAAACAGCAATTAGTTAAATATTATAATGGGAAAAAAGATTAAGCTATCTCATTTACTAAAGGAGTAGAATACAAAAATCTGTAAACAAGCTTAACTATATAATTTCTGTACTTAGCACAAGACTTGGAAAAGTAGAAGATGAACAGACACGTCAGGTCAGGAAAATACTGAAAAATGAGAGAGGAAAGACTAACTTCACAAGATAATTAAGTGCATTATCTTCTATGGTAATAACAACAAATTATACAATACCAAATAATATAGCAATTGTAGTTATACAAACAGCTGAGGCACAGGGAACCGCTATTACCATTTAGAGAAAATCTTATATCAGTGTAGGGATCTGTTCACCAGTTAAATTCCCAGATGCCAGGTGAGGGCAGACCCTCCAAACAGGCTTTTCTAAGAACAGAAGTCTTAGCCTGCTGTATTAACTCATAAATGTTAGACAAAATGTTTTGGAGGCCATTAGTCTGGATTGAACTCCTGCAGAGACATCAACAGAGCAAACCAAAATAGAGTTACTCCTGCTATAGTTCTACGTCACCAAGTTGAAACTATTATTTATCTGACCCTCTGGGAAATCAGGAGAGAGGGAGATTAACAGTCACATTCCCAAACAAACCTGTCCTAGCAGACATGATAAGGAAGTTCCCTCTGTTTTAACCTTTATAAGAAAAGTAACTTTGAAGTGACCAACTAGAATTTTGTTTTCTGATTCTACTATCCATAGCCCTTTTATGTCTGTAAAACCAATCTCCTCTGCTCAGCTCATCAGAACATTCATACTATTTTATGGAATGACATGTTGCCTAATTCTAGTATCACAGAGAGAGCCAATTAAGGTCTTTAAACTAAATTTGTTGTGATTTTGCCTTCTGACATATGGAATATCATGCAGTTATTACCAAATGAGGTGTGTGACTTCTAATTAAATACGAGGGAGCTAATTAAGGTAGTTTCATTCCACTCCCCTGCCTTGAAATCAACCAGAATCACTGTTAAGAGAGAAAAACACTTCTATCTACAGTAAAAAGTACAGGAAACTGAAAACAGAAAATGTCCACATAATAAACCTGGGTCTCAAGGATGAAGGAAACCAGGACCTGAAGCGTAAAACTCCCTTAAAGTAACCAGTGATACACTCCTTTAAGGCCCATCCAAGGGTCTTTTTATAGGATTCTTTCAATCTGAGAGCCATGGACAAGCCACAGGGGATGTTGGAA